GTTCCCAAGTCTATATTGAAATCTCCACACAAGAATAATGTTTTATTTTTACTCATTTCTATGAGCTCTGTTAATTTATCAGTAAATTGTTCTAAGTTAGATCCTGGTGCTCGATACACACAGCTCACCATTATATTTCTAGATTTCTCGTTCAACACCTCAATAGTAATTATCTCCATAACACCATCAACAGTTGTTGACATAGTGTCCATTTTTTTACTTTTTATGTCAMTATCAACAAACAAAGCAACACCCCCACCTCTTTTACTACTTCTATTCACAATTTACTCTGACTCTTAAAAAAATACAGATAATACAGACATTAATTATGTTTTATTTCTTAAACTCTGTTGCAAGCAAAACAATGGTACAGATTCAGCATAGTTGTATGTTTACCCCTTTTCTCCACCAAGTTCTGAAAATATATACAAATTATTTGTTGAAATGTCAAAGCTACGTTGTTTGTTTGCACTGACTTAAGCTAATGTAACCCTACTGTCATTGTTTTTTTTTATATATTAAACAAACTTGATACATTTAAGGATTCCCTATTCTAAAAATAGCAAATAGGTCAAAAACTTGTTTCAAATGTGTGAGACCCGATGTGGAGTTATCCCTGCTTTTGCCTGTCTAGAAACTATGTTCACTAAAAGAATCCAAACAAAGACATTTATGAAACAAAATAGCATAATTTGTTGCATTTGTGCACCATTTTTTTTTTATTTCAGCCATGTAAATTACAAGACAACCAAAAAAAATTAACACTATTGCATCATGTGAAGGTTTCAAGGTTCAAGTAAATTACACTACACAGAAGGAGGCAGCTATTTTTATTTCCTTTCTCTTGCAAACCACTCATTGCATCCACCTGGAAAGTTGCGAGTGCTGAAACAGAAGATACAGGTCGTCAGTTTATAAAAAGCGTTCGTGACAAATCTGACATGTAACAAAGACGTGCTGCAAGTCTGAAAAGCTTTTCATTAACCGAAGTTCTAAAGTGGTTAATGCGACGAATTAAAAGAGGATGTTAAAGCAGTAAAACTCATTTACGTCAAGTAACCCAGTCTATGAGCCTTGTTCATCGCCACTATTCCTCGCTTGCCCGACTGGCAGTGAAACACCAGCTCAGGTGCGTCTGCTGCTGGTTTCTGAATCCCATACTTGGCCTTGAACCCCTCCGGAGTCATCTGCAGGGCCGCTTCGACCTCATCAACTGTTCGAACAAAAGGGAAGACATGACCCACGCGGAATAATGTGAAATGAAGATGAGCAACTAATGCAAAGCACGGAGAACTCGTAAAACCAGACCCACAATGTGCGTCACACACACACAGCAGCGCATTCATTATGTAAAGCAGAGCATTCGCAACAGTCGGAGCAAACATCGTCATTACATCATTGTTTCCCTGTCGTGCACGTGGAGTAACTGAAAATTAGAAAAGTCTCACGTGGAATGTGGATGGCCCGAGGGATACGTTGTCTTGCCACCTCGCTGCCGGTGCGTACGTCAATCAGAATTAGATCCTGGCTATTTTCCACGAGTCTCTTCAGGTCGCTGTAGGAGACTGACAGCATGAGAGACAATAATATAAAAAGTAAAACATTGATGATTCCTTTTGGTAAAAAAAACCAAGGAAACTGCTTTAACTGGGTTTTTTTTTTACGAGAATATTTCCCCTGCAGTTGTTTTCAGAATAAAACAACGGCTGCTTGTGTAATGGGTTGGGTGCAACATGACACCATAAAGCTTATAGATTTTGTTCTCACAACTGTGCATGCAAGCAATCTTATTAATGGACATGCACCAAACAATGACCATTTTACAACTTTTTAGGGCAATGCCATTGTGGCACCTCTATGATAAGAGCAAATATTAAAGCATCAAATTATTATATATTCAAATTAAACATGTTTAAAGTGAGATCATTTGTAATACTTGCTCTATAATACTGCTTTAATGTTGCTGAACGTCCTGATCTTTTATATTTAAACAAAACTGAAAACACTCATAAGTCATAGTGATAACAGAAGTCAGCCATTCATCTACGATCAACACCTTCCTCAACTTACACGGTTATTAATCTTCAAAATCATGTTAAGTCCCGACATGAGCAGCTCAACCTGTAACTGTGTGTGTGTGTGTGTGTGTGTGTGTGTGTGTGTG